CCCCAAAACCCCAAAACCCCATACAATGGAATCAAGGCTTATTTGAAGCATTCTCGTTTTCCACATATAAAATAAATAAATATTAATCAGACATTTTAACACTTCAGCAATCTAGAAGTTCAAAGATATTTTATAAATATTATAACTCCATCAAGTATACAACCAAACTTATTGTTAGCTAGCATGGCACGTTGAAACTAGAACACAAGAATCTAGATAAACAAAGACACTAGATTCTATTCCATTGTTCTTGGATATCAAATTAGAATATCTCATCATTTTATGGAAATAACGATATTTTAGAACAAAAATTACAAAAGATAGCTAAAAGAGATGTATTATAACAGGAGATTTCAATTTTAAAAAAAATACAACACCTTAATCCTTTAAAGTAACAAGAATTGATAATGATTCTTCTCTAAGTTTTTTATTAAAATAAAATATGAACAAGAGTTTCTTTATCTTACCACTCTTTCTTATAAAATAATTTGAGTAATGAGTACGAGAATGATGATAAAAACCAAGAATTCCTTAAATTATTTAGAATTAGCTTGAAACTACTTATCAAAATAACTCAATAAATAAAGCAAGCTTGGGAATCACAAATTGCAATGAAAAAAAATTCTAGTTCAGAATTTTCTAAATTATCCTTACCTAAGATACACAATTTAAAATGGATCATTAGTCTAAAAAATTATTAATTGGATAGTATACTATAATTACATAAACTCTAATCTGATTTGCTTTAGAAAATTCTCTAATAATATGGAACTAGTACCAAATAAAATTTTAGATCAATTTTCAAATCAAGACTTTATTACACTCTATTACACAAACTAGTTAAATAATTTATTAATGGTAAATAATCTCCTCCAGATTAATAATGCTTACTTAAGGTTTTTACCAAATAAACTCATCGATACCAGAGACAAAAATTTGATCAAAATGTCTATTGCAAATTTAAAATTCTTTATTCAGCATGGGTGAGATTTTTCTCACCAAGACTTTAGTAATTCATTCACTAAATATAGGTTGGATTCAACCTGGTTTATAATTGTAGAGTAAATTAAATCCAGGAAAGAAGTATTATATGATTCTTAGATTTTGCCATAGACCTTCTCTTCCATGGCACTGTCGATCATTCTTGAAGAAATCAACATATAAGGAGTCTGCCTTAGAAAGCAGTTAAAATTCTCCTGATCTGCCATTTCCTAATATATAACCGAATTGTAAATGTTTTTCCTCAGTATGTTTGTGATTGTGTTTGTTTAGAAATTCATCTATATTTCGTAATAAGCTATCTTCGACAATATTTCCAAATAAGATAGTATAGTATTTATCCTTAGAATATGTTTCTCCAAATCGCTGCTTAAATTTGATTACCTAAATATTTAACTAATGACCATTATTTTTTAGATATCTAGGATTATATCTGAGATAGCAATCACTAATCTCATATATCAAATCATCTATATCCATGTTTATTGGAAGCTTTAACATCAAATTAGGACTCATCTCAATAGCTTTGATTAATGTTTTTTTGAAAGGATACGGTTCAAAATCATTGACTTTCATTTTAGATTCCACATCTTTGTAATCTAAGCCTCCCCAAGGAGGATCGAAAAAGAAAGCGACTTATTTTTCAGGGTTGACTTTGTCCAAATACTTAGATATTTTCAACTCAAGGAATGCACCCTGGGTAACGTCAACTTTCTAGTTGACTTTATATTTTTTACAGTTATAATCAGCATATTTTGCTCTATCTTTATCAAGTTCTGTTGCAATACAATTTTTATTATTTTCAAGCATAGCGAATTAAATCACATTCCCTCCTACTCCACAGCATCCATCAATAATGATACTTTACTATAAATTCTTCATGTAATACGCCATAAAAGCTGCGATAGGCTCAGGAGTGATTGAATACCATCCTTCTCTATCAATAAAGAGGCCAGAATCATACTTGCTGAAAAGAAAATATTTCTGTCTAAAAAACTTTTCAACATCTGACAGATCAGGTGGCAATTACTTAATCGCATCAGAATCATAATCAACATTTTTATCCTAATATAAATAATCGTACTAACTTTTTTGATAAATTGCATTCTATCTGATGATTCTCACCTTGAGATTTTTCACTCCTTCTCCCTCTTTTTACTCTTCACTTGAATTTTCTCTGAAACTATAAATTCTATCCTCAAAATTTTGAGTTGATATCAACCATTTGACATTCTTTTGATCCATTTCATACTCAAAATCACTAAGACCTGTGAGGCTCACATTTTTATCAAGGATGAAGTTGGATTCCGTGATAATATCACCAATTGGTCTAGTTTGATTGCTAATATAAATTCTTTTGGAGGAATCTGATCTTTCAACTTTGATCTACTAGCCATCATCCTCTTGCCTTTCCCCATAACCAAACATTCCAGTTTTTATATTCTCCATTTTTAAATTATTAATAATAATTCAGGCATACATCTGATTTTAATATTTTATCAAGAGAGCATTTTAAATCATCTTGTAACTTAATAATACTATGAAATAAATTTAAATATCAAAAGCTTAAATTTTCTTTTCTAAGTATTAACTTAAAAGCCTCATCCATATCATTTACTAAAAATTTTGCTTCATGTTTATTTTCCTTTCCAAATTCATCAAGATGCTAATGCACTCCTGTCTTAACCAGTATAGAATTCCATCCTTTTCGATTTGCCCCTTCAATATCACCCTCTGGATTATCACCTATCATGTAGAAATCACTTATTTCTATTCCTTATTTATCAGCTTTTTACCTTAAAACTTACTCCGCATAATCAAATGTTACTCTTTCAGGTTTTCCAAATTAACTGTACTAGAAATCCATACCATAAGTTTGCTTAAACACTAATTTCAAGCAGTTAATCAGGATCCCTTAACCATGTCTTAAAAGCTTAAATTTATCAGCATAAATCAAATCTGGATTAGTAAGGTATAATTTAACATGCTATGGATCAGTTTTATTTCTTATACTTTCTCCTAATCTTCCATCCTTAGAAATCAGTAAATCACTAAATATTTAGATATTAGCTTCTAACTTTATGGCATCAGACCATAAAAATATTGCATCAAATTTAAGTTCTTTCTTTAGTTAGTCCTCTGAAATGTTCAGTCTTTCAAGCACTTATTATTTTCTTTAAGCATAATAGCTAGCTTAGTGACTATTAAAATTTATTAAGAATTATGAAAAATAGACTTACTCAGATCTTCTTTCTGGATGCAATAATGGATATAATCCCATTAGCTCTTCGATATCTATCGCTTTTTTATAGCCATAATTTTTTGCTATTTTGATCATGTCTCCAAGACCACTTACAAGTACATATTTATTTTCATTTTCTTAAAGAAGATTTTCTGATTTAAATGGTGTATGACACAAAATCATATCTTTTCCTTCTATGATTCTTGTTCCTTATGGCTCATTGTCTAAGTTTATGACATGATTGACATATTCAGCTCTCTCATTTTCAGGAATTCCTCCTCCATTTGTAAGTAGAGCGAAAGGAATGTACTTATTATTAAATTTATGATTGAAAATTGTTTTAATAACAAATCTAGAGTTTCCAATCTCATGACCTCCACGATAAACTACACCATCTATGTCTGTTAATATTCCTGGTAATTTAATTTTCTGACTTTACAAAGAGGAATAAAATCTCTTCGTTTGGAGTGTTTAAATCCCCTTCATTTTATTTAATTATTAGTACTTCAGACAAATTTATATAGCAAGAAGTTTTAGACACTAGGGGTTTTGGGGTTTTGGGGTTTTGGGGTTTTGGGG